TCCATTCTAAAGTCAATCTGCCTTTAATAATCATACAACTCACTTTTTGACTTTTTATTCTTATAAATTTAGTTCAAATGAGTAAAAAATTATTTTAATAGTATTGTGTACATATGGATTGTCAAAATATAACAAAAAAGTTTAAAATTTTAGTAAAATAATATAATTGTAAATTCAATATAGTCTATAAGATAAGATAATTTGATGGTTCAATTTTCACCTTCCAATTAGTTTGAACTTAAAATATATATAACAAAAAAAATTATAATTAACGTGTAACAACATTTTTGTAGAAAAGAAGGCTACAAATCATTGGTGGACAGCTAAAACATTCAGTTTTAGGGATAGAAAAATGTATTTCTCACCCTCACTCTTTGACTTTGTCATTGTCTATTTTTTTTGTATATTTATTTATTTATTTTTATCCATCCGATGAATATCTACTTATCCTTCTCCCTAAGCACGTAAATGACTACTAAAATTTATTATATTTGCATTAAATTCGAAATATGATAGAATTTTATGAGGTTGTTGAGCTTAAATATTTATATTTGGGGTAAGGTTTTCAATATATAATTAATTTTTTATCTTATTTCAACGCAAAAATTAATTGCTTGAAAAAAAAGGGAGTAAACACATGTAGCCACAATCTTATTAGGAAATTCTTTGATCTTATATTAATTATGAGAATAAAACTTATCGTCAATATTATGTGAGAGTAATATCCTTAAATATTGACATAATTGTAATTTACACACCCAATAAAAAGTTAATTATCAATAATGGGTACACAATTCATCTTATAGATTGATATGTTTATATGTATCAAGTAAAATCATACTTAAAAATACACCATTTAAGGGACCTTGATAAAAGTTTCTGTATAATTTAAAAGGCTAAATATAACATTATAAAAATAAACATGAAACTTAAAAGTTAGGATAAAATTCTAAGCATTGAATTAAGTATAGAACAATTATTTTTCGATGCATTTGATAATTAACATCAAGAACATACCATATTCTTTTTCTTCGTTTGAATATTACGTCATAAATAAAGAATTTAATATTAAAAAACCTATAAATCTTTTGTAAAGATACATTTATATTAGTTAAGCCGAACATATCTCAAATGGTAAAATACTTGGTCAAATGTGAGTAATAGATTAATTGGTTAAGTATCCTCAACTAAATGACATGTTTAAATTTCAACTCTCATATATGAGCGCAAGTACTAATGTAACGAATTTTCACCTAGACAAACTATAAAGGAGCGACTTGTGCAAGGGAAGACCTGTATAGAAGGAACAAACATTTTGAAGTTCAAGTTAGTTTGGGTTCGATCTAAGTCAGTCGGTTTCAGACAAAATTGCGTATCTGAGTCCTGAGAGTGAGTATCCTTTTATTGGCAGATGGAAGAGACAAGGCAGTTACGATCGTTCCGACATGCGATTATGTTGTTATATTGGTTGTCGATCCTGAGGTTGGCACTTTGAGAGTCTATGGATCATATAAGCAGTATGCTCAGTCTATGTGATAAGTCAGAACATGACGTTGTCTAAATTCATTGGGATAAACTTTTTGATCTCATAATTGGTTCACGTGGCATGTCAGATTTTACCCTCCAACACTCCACATATTATTGAACTAAAAAAACTGATAAAAATATATTACATCCATCCTAAAAATTAAATGTTTTAAAATTTCACCTCCACGCAACTAGAAAAAACTACTCTATGTACTAATAGAATTTGAGAATATATTTTTCTTGCCCATTGCATCTCAATTTCACAAATTATTATTGAAACTACAGAAAATAAATAAATAATTAAACCCGAACGTAAAATCCACGTATTTTCTGTTATATATCTCGCCCGAGACTATCGTGATAAATTGAAGACATCAATCTCGTCTTGATTAAAAACGAGAATAGGAGATTAATGGCAATAATAAATAATAGTAACTAAAAAAAAAAAAACACACAGAGTGAGAGTGGATTAGTGGGAAATAATGCGAAACAGCAAAATGAAAGAAAGGCACGAAGTCTACGCGTATAAAAAGCACTGATTCAGCTTTTTTATTTTTATTTTTTATTTTTTCCCAACACCAACAAAAGAAAAAAAAGAAAAAAAGCTAAAAGAAGAAAGAAAAAAAAGAGAAGAAAGAGGGAGAAGAATGGGGCATCCGAATCATGAAGACAGAGTGTTCCTCTTCTTCACTGCTGCTTCCTCACCCGAAATCGCGGCTCGTACATTCTCTCACTCTCTCCTCTAGGGTTTCGCTTCGCTTCTCTTTGCTAATTTCCTGCTCTTCCTTCATCGTCAAGTTCTACGGTACTCTCTCTCTTTTTCTCTTTTTCCGATGTCTAATTCTCCTTCAATGCCTGATT